AGGCTGTAATCCATTGTGATGTGTGTCTTTATAAGAACTAACACAGGACTAGGACACACAGAACATACAGACCAAGGGAGGACAATCTGAACATAGTGAGGAAGGAACCATTTACAAATCTAGGAAGGAGGCCTTAGGAAAAAAACCTGCTAACATTTTTATCTTGATCTTGGACTTCCAGCCTCCAGAACTGTGAGAAAATAAGTTATATAAATTATTAATAAGTTAAATAAGTCATTTAAAAAATTCTGTTATTTGTTACCCAGTTTGTGGTGTTTTATTAATGGCAGCCCTAGAAAATTAATTCAGAAACACACTTTTGATTTTTCAAACTTACGGTCAAACCAGAACATTTGATTTTCCTGGTCAAAACCTGTCTTTCCTCTATTTCCCTCAATAGCCATCTTTGTAATTGTCACTAGTATTCACTCAATTGCTCAAGTCAAAAACCTACCAGGGGCTCTAATTCCCTAAAAATCACCTATCACAACCTTGATAATCCTATCCCCAAAGAATGTTTTTAATCTCCATTCTTTACTTCATCGTTATTACTACTTACCACTTCAGTTCTCACCACTAGTGTCTCCCATTTGGATTATTGCAAAAGCCTCCTAAATAATTTAACTTCCTCCATTTTCACTCTAATTCAGCAATCCTGCCCTGTTCAGCAATAAAAGTTAGCTTTTTTCTTAGCACATATGGCCATTACCCTCCTTCTCTCCTTGGCTTGAAACTTGTGCATGCCTTACTTGATCTAGCCTCTGCTGCCTGATCCACGCATGGATTTTCAACCATATCTGGTGTTTTCTTTGCTGGATTGCTACTGATTTTCTTTACAGTTCCTGGAAAATGTCAAGTTCTTTCCTGCCTCAAGATCTTCATTTTGTTCCTTCCATTAGAATGTTTTCACATTTCTTCATAGGACTTGATCCTTCTCTTTCTTTATGTTCATTTTATTTCATTATTGATATTATTTTATGACAGGGTCTTGCTATATAGCCCAGGCTGGTCTGGAACTTGCAATGTAGCCCAAGATCCTCCTGCCTGAGCCTCCCAGATGCTGGGATTACAGACAAATGCTACACAACCAGTTTTTTTCAGTTTTCATGGCAACTCCTCCATTGAGGCTTTCACTGCCCATTCTATTTCAAGGATTCACTCGATTATTCTCCATTTCTACCCTTCACTTGTATTTATTACAATTTACATTATACTTTTATCTGCCTACTGCTTGTTTTTGCCTATTTCTCTAGCAGAATTGGAAGGTGCTCAATAAGACTGAATCAATTTTCTAAAAGACTTGACTGCCTTATGTGTGTTTTAGACTGAAGCCATAATTCTAGGTCAAAAGTCAAAGAGAAGAGAAGACCAGGGAGTCCTTACAATAGGGGATGAAAAGAAGGGAACTCCAGATTGGAGGGACTCATTGAGGGACCAAAAAGTGTGGCTGTGCAACTTGACTGAATGAAGGCCCTAACCCTGAAACCAAGAGTGAGTAAAAACGACTAGAGAAGGCTTTTCTAGTTGTTGCTCAAGATGGGATCTATGATTTGGTGACAATTGGTGGCAAATTACCAGTCTTTTCTTTCAAAGTGAACAACAAAAAGATTATACTTGCCACACTTTATTTATTTATTTTTAGGTGGGACTGAGGTTTGAACCAAACCCAAGAAGGTACTCTATTGCTTGAACCAGACCTCCAGTCCATTTTTCTGTGGTTATTTCGGAGAGGGGGGGTCTCAAGAATTATTTGCCTGGGCTGACCTTTAACTGCAATCCTCCTAATCTCAGCCTTCCAGGTAGTTAGGATTATAGGAGTGAGCCACTGGCATCCGGCCACACAATTTTATTAGAACTTGCTTCACTACATTCTACTTGTTATTTTTTGTGTCTTACTAACTAGAGAGTTCCTCGAAGTCAAGATATTATTTTTATTTACTTTTATATTTCTCAGAACCTAAAAGAGTTACTGGTGCCATGTAAGTGCTCCACAAGTGTTTGGTGAATCAAGTTGTTCTGTCTAAAATCCTTAAAGCAGAAGTTTATTTGGGCTTTGTCCATAGTGTCTAAGAAGAAAACAAGAGCCAGGAGTGGTGGCATACGCTTATAATCCCAGCATTTGGGAGGCTGAGGCAGCCTGACCTACATAGCGAGACCTGTCTCAAAAAACAAAAGAAGTAGAAGAAGGATGAGGAGGAGAAGGAGGAGAGAGGAGAAAGCAAGAAAGAAGTACAAGATGTGGAGGGATAGTGAAAAGGTAAATGGCAAAATGGACTTCATGGTGAGGACAACTGTGGAGCCCATGAGAAGAAAATGAAGTTGGGAGAACTACCTGTACTTCACAGATGTTCAAAGTTTCAGATTAAAGAGATTATCCATAGGCAGAAGTTACATAGATTATATGTTGGTCTTTCACTCTCAAAAAATTTCAAACTATATGTAACCCCATTATAACAGGTAAAAAATACTTTTGTTCTAAATTTTCTCTAGTGATATGGAATGCTTTCCCAAGTATTCTCTTATTACTTATATTTGGGAGAGATAATGTTAGTAATTGTAAAAGCTAGAAGTTACAAAACTCTTGCTTGTATTATATTATCTTGTATTTGTATTATCTTATTAAATCCTTAAAACCACCTAATGAGAGATCTGTTAAAATAATTATAGGAATTTCTATTATTAGCAATTTCTATTATTTGGCAGCACTGGGGCTTGAATTCAGGACTTTGCACTTGCTAGGCAGGTGCTCTACCACCTGAGCCACACCCCCAGCCCTTTTTTGCTTTATTTTTTGTACAGAGTCTTGCTTTTGCCCCATGCAGGCCTCAGTATCTCAGTCCTCCAACTTATGCATAGCTAGGATTACAGGTGCACACCACAGCACTTGGCTTATTTGTTGAGACGACTGGGTCTCGATAACTTTTTGCTGTGGCTAGTCTGAAACCACTATTCTCCTGATCTCTGCATCCTGAAGTTGGGATCCTGTAGTCCCAGCTTCTTGGGAGGTGGAGGCAGGAAAATCTTTAGTTTAAGGCCAGCTTGACCAACATAGGCAACATAGCAAGACCGTATCTCAAAGATATTTAAAAAAAAAAAAAAAACACAAGCAAAAATTCCACATGAACAACGAAGCAGTTAAAAATAAGAATAAATTGTTTTGAGTACTCTCGATACTCCTAATGTTCACATTATGCTTTCTTTGCATAAGTACACTGTCATTTTATACTTATTTCTGTAACATACTAGTGTGGGTTGAGTTTGGTCCCCCCAAAAGATGTAAAAGTCCTAACCTCAGGACCTTATGACCTTATTGGGAAATAAGGTCTTTGTAGATGCAATCAAGTTATAATGAGTTCATAATGGAGTAGAGTGGGCCCTAATCCAATCCTGGTGTCCTTATAGAAAAAGGGAAATTTGGACATAGACACACAGAGAAAACACCAAGCGAAGATGGGGGCAGAGATTAGAGTGATGTTTCCACACGGATTGCTAGGGATTATTGTCAACTACCAGAAGCTAGAGAGAGGCAATGAAAAAATTCTCCCCTGATACCAGAAGGAATTAATCTGTTGCCAGCTTCCAAACTTCTGACTTCCAAAAAACGTGAGACTATATATAAAGTTCTGTTGTTTTAAAATACATGTCCTGTTGTTATAGCAACCCAGGAAACTAATACATACATTCAAATGTACACTAGCACACACTTTATAATCTGAAATATATTTTTCGGTAAAAGATAAAAGAAACACGGCTTACTTTGGATTCCTTCTAGAGTCTCAACATTCATCTTTTTTTTTTGTTTGTCTTGTTTGTTTTTGTATTGTGATACTGGGGTTTGAATCAGGACCTTGTGCAAGTAAGTGCTTTACTACTTAAGCCGTATGTCCAGTCCTTACCATTCACCTTTAAGTCACAAGTTCTAATGAAGCCTAAGCTAAAAAAAACCAAAAAGCGTCACATGGTAGGACTACAAAGTAACACCTGTCGCAAAACACAAAAAGTTAACACACAATTTCAAAAGTGCCTTGTTTTAAAGAGACTGTAGTTGCGCGTGTAGTTAACCTTTGCTGGAAAGGGCCTGTGCATCCTTCACCTAAACTTGCAGCATACTTGATTTGCCAGAGACTTCCATCCCTGGTGCCTCTCCTCCCTCTTCAAGCCAGGTGTCCTTTGGCTACTAGGCCTCCTCAATCATTCCTTCCTAAAAAGGAGCACGAAAACTGTGTTAAGACCATCATTCTTCTTGGTCTTGCTGGCTTACCAAATAAATATTTCTTTCCCAACAATTTGCCCTCTATTCATTGGGTCCTTTTTGAGAGAAGACTAAACACTAGGTCGGTAGCAAGATATTGAAACTGATTCCGAGATCCAGACTTGGGTTTTATGAAGCAGGGACTCTAGCCTTAGCCTTATTTTTGTCTGATTAAAAGAGGACTGGCCATTTACGTTTATCGTTCAGGGAGTTGGCAGAAAATGTTGTGAGCCCACGCTGTTACCAAGAATGTTGACATTTAATGCGAGTAGCTTCGCCTATTGCTAGCAACATATCTGGCATCTTCAGATTAACTCCAGTTGAATTTGAAGGATTAAAAATAAGTCACCTGCCTTTATATTCATATTTCTGATTGTTTCAACTGCTTCTTCAAATTCTCCTTGAGAAAGGCAGAATAATGAGTAGAACCTATGCGCAGAAAGGCAAAGCAAAAAACCGCAGGTATTTTCTTCATTCAACCGCCCTTGAGAGCGCCGAAGCATAGTTAAAAACACCTCCACATCTGCTAGCTCGTCTTCGCAAACTCTAACGTGCTCAGTTGGCTAGCAGCGCTCTTCAAAGTAGCGCAAAGCTGCACATGCGCAGGCATCCCCGGGCGCGGCACCCGGGAAGTTTCCTGCGCAGGCGCAGGAGGACCGGGAAGTGGGCGGGCTCGTGCGCGTGCTCTGCGGCTCACTTCCGGCCGGGCCCTCCCCCTCACCTCCTCGCGAAGCCACCTCCCCCTCTCCCTTCTTTCCTGCCTTTTCCTCAACTCTCTCCACCCCTTGCGTTCTCCGCCCTGCTCGCCTCCAGTCCTCCCCTCCCGCTCCATCCGGGTCGCTGACGGCTGTCTCTGGACTGGAGAGTGGTGGCGGCTGCTTTTCTTGGAGGAACCTGGTAAAGTTTCACAGGGGCCGGGGAGAGGAGCAGTGGCCCGGACGGAACCGTGGTGGTCGCCGCCACTGGCTGAGAGAGGACGGTCCCAGGAGCTGGAGACCTGCCTGAGCGGCCGCGGTGCCTCGCTCTTTGGGGAGGGGCCGCTGTCGGTCGCTTTGGGTTTCCCTTCCCGGAGGGACCGGGTGTGTGTGTCGTTGCCCCGGTGGATACCACCCCCAGTCCCCCAGGTTCGGGGGTTCGTGAGACAGCGACAGGCCAGGCAGGAAGGGTTCAGGCCGGGCTGGCGAGGGGCGGGGGCCGAGGGCAGGGTAGGGTCGCGGCGCTGGAGTGTCGCACGTCCCCGGGGTCGTGGTCGTGGTCGTGGGGGGCTGGACTCGGTGTGCGCTGCGAGCGGCAGCTGCTGCTCGTCGGCCCGCGGGGCTGGGCAGTGCGAACCATTCCTGCCCCCGGCCCGCGTGTGCGGGGACGGTGGACGCGGCTGCTGCTCGCTTTTCTACCTGTTGCTGGCGATACCCCAAGACTGAGATCGGAGATAGTTCCCTGTCCTCTCCTTCTTCAAAATAATAGTAATAGTAATAATAATAATAATAAGAAGAAGACAATGCGGAACTGTCCGCAACTTTTGAGTTCGGACACCTCAAAAGAATGAAAATCAAACGCGTGTTAAAGGACGGGTTGTGGAATGGGACACCGGCGAGCCGTAGTGAAGGAAAATTGGATTTTGAAACTTTCTAGGTTCGGGTGACTTCCCATATAACAGTGTTGTATAGTAACGCAGTGTGTTTTAAAATCTCTGGAGGTCTAGATAAAAAAGACTCTTTGGTTGTTGTTTATGTCTTATACAAGCAGTATTCATTCAATGTACTGGAAAGTTCTACAGATTTCGCCACCAAACTATCAGTGTCCCAGCTCTCCCCCCCACAATTCCTGTTCATGAAAAATCAGCAGTCCTGGGGTTACTTGCCATATTTGTTCCATCTTCGAATGATTGTGTCAGAGGTATAGATAAATAAAAATTGCCAAGAGGAAAATCTTGCTCTTTAAACTGTATTTTTTTTCTGTGTTGTAATCACATGAAAAAAGTAAATTAGTAGAGAGGTTGGGGTGTTAGTATTTTGACTTGTAATATACAATCTTTGGAGGCGATTGTTTTAAGATTATGACTTGATAAAGAGAAGTCTTAGGGGATGAATATGATGAAAATACATTATATACATGTATGAAAATGTCATAGTGAAACATTAAAATGTGCAAAAAAGAAATCCTAACTTTCTATACAGCCTATTAATATTATTAATTAGGAGAGTCGTTTAAATTGGGGGGAATTTAAAATTTTTTCCATTATTGGTTTTATTTCTGTTACAGATAAGAACTTCAGTTTTCTGTTGATGTGGAGGTAGGTATTAGATTATGCAGAGTTGAGAGAGATTTTGAAGTTGTGTTTATGCAGTTGGCTATGTACTTGATTTTTTGGGCATTAGAAAGATACTTTATTTCCTGATCCCACTAAAATGAAAGCAAGCAAACAAAAACTCTGTGGTTAATTCCTTCAAGGTACTTGTTATTTCCATTAGTTCTTCTCATTTCCATTAGTTTTAGTCTTATCACAAGATAAAAAGTAAAAACTACTTAATATATTTTAAATTTTGCAGTCATAGAAAGTGATTTAGTTCTCTTAAACATTTGTATATGATACATGTAAAAAATGTAACTGATTTTTGAAACTGAATGATACTTATGTGGCATATTATAAAATGTAATGTTTGCTATATAGTGATCATTGTATCCTAGTACTAAATGAAAGAACATTATGAGTCATGTTTTCTTTGAAGTCATATTCACATTTTTTTCTGTCTCCTCAGTCATACAGTACCTTCAGCTTTCCAGTGTTTCAGAAGGGAATTTTGTGTTGAAACTGGAAGACCAAAATAATTACAAGCATGTTGTGCTGGGGAAATGCATCCTTTGGACAACTAGGTTTGGGTGGAATTGATGAAGAAATTGTACTAGAGCCCAGAAAAAGTGACTTTTTTATGAATAAAAAGGTCCGAGATGTAGGATGTGGACTCAGGCATACCGTATTTGTTCTGGATGATGGAACTGTGTACACGTGCGGATGTAATGATCTAGGACAGCTAGGTCATGAAAAATCCAGGAAGAGACCCGGTAAGTTAAAAAAAATTGCTATTTCTTATAGTTATATCATTTTAAGTTTGAAATGTCATACAATTTCTGTTGTCATAGACCTATATTCTTTATCAAACTTTAAAAACAAAGCAGCAGTTAAATACATCATGACATTTGCATGCTTACTACTTTATTTTGTTTGTGTGTGTGTGTGTGTGTGTGGTTTTTTAGTTGTTTTTTTGTGGAACTGTTTTTTTTTTTTGTTTTTTACTACTGTTACAAAATATATCTAAATTTTTACTTGCCTGGTATCATATTTTAGATACACCACTTTATTTGATTTAGTTGGAAATATCTTTTGTTCCCCTAATTTTCTACTTTTGATCATCATCACTGGCTATTAAAAGTTTTGTGAACATGTGGTGTTCTGATTTTGTAGTAGCTATCAGGTAATGAGAGCTTGGAGGTATTTGGTCACATTTCATATTTTGTTTTCCTGGAAGTTACATTTTTAAATTAAATAAAATTAAATACTACTACATTAATATTATTGTTAAAGGTTTTGCTTTCAAGTATAATTAATAGTGACAAGGAGGTAAAATCAGGTGAGATTGCAGCTGTACTGAACTTCTTCTTTTAACTGAAACAAAAATGGTGCTTAAGTCCTTAGCAATTATTTTTCTTTATCAGTTTATAATAGAGTGTTTTCTATTATTAGTCTACTATGGAAAGATTAATGTAAACATAAAGTATATATGCATTAAATTAATTTCACTTTTCGTACCATCTCATTACCATGCCATACATCACTTTTCTAATTTGCAAGTATTGTAGAGTTTATATCCTTTCTTTGTAGTTAAGGTCTTAATCTCTTCTGTTTTTATAACTTAGTTTTATTGGATGAATGATAGTGATATACAGTAGGTTTAGAACTCAAAGGTAAATGGCAGCTTCTATACTTCACTAAGAATATTTTATGGAATCTTAACGAGATTTTTATAATCTCAGGCATTGAGATGGTCATGATGATAATTTGCTAATAATGTGTTTGATTGTTATCTCTGCATTAGAGGCAAATGGGTCCTTCACCTTTTTTTGCTTAGCTTTGGAATTCTGCCTCAAGTTGAGATTTTCATGGTATTGAGGCTTCTGCTGTTCTTTGTACTTAACATATCCCATAGAAATAACTGAACATCTGTGTATTACTTTAATAATTTTTGAAGGGAGGGAGGGCAAGTAAAAAATAAAAAGCAAGCACATAGAAATTGCCAGTATACTCACTGTAATTTACTAAGGTTTAGAAATTTTAGATTTTACTAAACACTGTTTTGTGTCAAGGACAAGGGTAGACACTGCACTAATGGTGTGATGATTATAGTGCTTTCAATAGCTTCTAACTCTATAAATGAGATTCTAAAAAACTTGTGATCTTGTTGACATTGTGGTAATTGCATTGTGGCATCTGTATCATACTGTTGATTCATTCTGGAGGCATTATTTAGTAATATAAAGTCGGGAGGGTGGGTTTCCTCTTTAGAATACCTCCTTAGGACTGACTCATTTTGTTCAGTGTATACCACAGGGAATAGGAATGAGCTTTGTCCTTCAGAAATTTAGGGCTTGGGTTGGGAATTAGACATGCGTAGATGAAACAACTGTAGAGAAGTGAAATTTGACATGATGTACTTTGTACTCTGAGCCTAAGGAATTTAAATGATGGAAATGTCAGTGTGGGATCAGATTAAAGTAAGATTTCTGGAAGAAAATAAAAGCTTAAGTTAAATTTTAAGAAAAATTCTGTCAATATTCAATTAAATAGCCATAAAATAAGCCTGGAGTTGGAATTGCTTACTATATAAAAAGGGGGGAGGGTAGGGAGTCCTCATGCCAAGGAAAACCTTTTATTATTAGAAGGTTTGGTACAATGATAAATTGAAGTGTAACTAGAAATAGAAAAAAGTAGGTCAAGGAGGGGTGATTACTATGATCGCTTTTAACCTCAGTTTTCATTTAAAGTGCTTGGATGATAAATTTTAATGTTTTAAAATAAACATTGGAATATTCGTTAATTTTTAAAATGTGCTCCTTCCATACCCTTTTTTATAAATTGTGAGTTGAGGAATGGATTAGAAGTTAAGGAGTTGTTTGCTTTTATTCAGTTGGTTTTAAAGTGTTCTGATAATTGAGGGGTCTGGTCTGTATTTCTGTGTAATAAACATAGTTCCTTTCATTGGAGCTTTAAACTTGTGTCACAAAGAAACTAGACAGAAGGGAACTGAATTATTTCTTTGCATAGACTGGCTTTATAAAGAGCACATATTCTGCAACTAATGAGTGGAAGAGAGTTAGCCTCATTAAGTTATTCTTGAGTCATGATAATTTACTGAAGACCTTGGCCTTGCAGTATAGTAAGTAGATTTTGCAGTATAGTAAGTAGATGGCCTACTGGGAGAGTGTTTCTTTCTGGACATGTTTGGAACCATTTTGAAAGATTTAACTGATACCTTTTATTATACCAAGGGTATAGGTTCATCTTTGTTCTCATTATAGGTATGCCCCTTGTTATCACTACTAGGTCTTCCTGAATTATTTCCAAAGTGAATACTTTCACTTTTGTGTATTTTCCTACATAAGAACCTGTTAAGTACTTTTTAAAGCTAGTGACTCAGTTTCTTAGTTCATAGTCAATAAGTAAATATATTTAATCTTCATTATACTATACTGATCCATTTAAGTGAATTGCTAGGTTTTTTTTTTTTTTATAATTCCAGATTTACTTCTAAATATTTTAAGATCCACCTATAAGGGAAGTGTACTATACTGAACAAGTTTCTTTATGCACTATTATATCTGGTCATATGTATAACATGTGACCATAGTCTAAATATTTTGCATATTATTTCATTTGTTTTATGTCAGAGAAAGTACTAAAGTATTTTATGACCATAATTTCTGGTATCAATCTGTTCAAAAGGAGTGTTTCAATAGGTTTTTGTGGTTTACAAAGTTCTTTCAAATAGAGCATCTCATTTAATCCTCACAACAGTTTTGTATGGTAATTAGGGCAGGTAGTATAGTCCCCATTTTACAGATGAGGAAACTGAATTTAAACAGTACTTAACAGGGCCAGGTGTAATGGTGCATGCCTCTAATCCCTGCTATGTGGGAGGTGTAGAGGGGAGCATAACAGTTCAGGACCAGCACTGGCCTAAAAAGTATTGAAAACTCATCTCAAAAAACAAGCCAGACAGTCATGGTGATTCATTACTGTAATCCCAGCTACATGAGAGGCAGAGGTAGGAGGATCAAGATACTGAGGCCCTGGGCAAAAAGCATAAGAACCTATCCGAAAATTAACTAAAGCAAAAAGGGATGGGAGTATGGCTCAAGTGGTGGATGCCACTGTATTGAGTTCATACCCCAATACTGCAGAAACAAAACAAACTAAAAAAACCCCCAACACCACCACCAATAAAAAATAGGGTTCCAAGGCTAGCAGACATTTACTTTCATTTCTTAATGTTTCTCCTATCATTCTGAGAAGATAGAATAATATTTATTTGCCTAGGACAAAACTGGTTTTACCAGTATTTTAATGTAATTTGAAGGGTTTAAAGAAAATCTTAAAAAAATTACCATTTTATAGCTAAGATTATATAATTAAGATGCATGTTTTATTGTCCCCTCTGCCTCATACATCGACTCAAAAAAAAGTTATTTTAAGAATCATGTATGATTGAGAGTTCTATTTTTAAGATGCAGTATTGTACCAAAACAAACTAAAAAATCAGACATATGTAATTTTTTTTTGAAGAATAATTTGAAGCAAAGCCAGCAGTAGGTAAAGTTTTGAATAATATAAAATTTATTGTAGTTTATATTAGCTCTTTCATAGAAGATAGAAAGGTGATGACCATTGATTTGATATTTCCTATATCCCAAAATGGTAATTTCTACTATTAGTCATTCCCAATAAATTTTGGTAACATAGCAGTAATTACTTGCTTGTCTTTGTTGCTTCTTCATTTTCTTATCTGTTATCTCTGTTCATAAAACATAAATCTATAAGTGAACTAACTACTCCTTTAAATATAGTTGAGATTTTAAAAAGTAGTATAGGAAAATAAATATAAATATGGGAAATAAAATTATTCATTGAAGAGCAGAAAATAATATTATCTTACATACTTTATATCCAAAACATAAGGCCAAAGAAGCTCATTATGTTTTATAACTTACAATTTTCATAATACCTTCTAAGAATGAGAAAGATGTGGATGATTTGATGACTTGAAAAAAGTAATTTCTTGGGTCAGGACTGCAGGCTTGCTTTGGACACTACTTTGAGAAAGGTCAGTGCCCAAGAATCAGTGTCAAATGTAGGAAAAAAAATCATTATGCAAACAGATGATACTGTTAGAGAGATGTATAATAATACTTTACTTTGTGTAGGACCCTACATCTGAGGAATTTCAAGAGCATTACACAATAACTCATGGTTCCTTTCAAAATGCTTGTGACACAGTTTGCAAGAATTATCCTCATCTTAGGGGATAAATTTTCGGAGAAATGGCAGCACAAGTTGGTAAGTAACTTGTCAAAACAGCAGGTGACTGGCAAACAGCTATAAGTTGAATCTGAAAATTTAAGCATACCAGTCTCCTACCTTATTCAGTAAATTGTGCTTATGTTTAGTATTATTTACAGTAATATATATTTGAGGCAGATCAAATACTAATTCACAGATTGTGATGTTGCCATTGTATTTGGTGGCTTATTGTAATAAATCAGTATTTTAGTAAGATGATTACATTGCTATACCACTTTGTTATTTCCTTATAACCCTGGGTGGTATGAAAAATACTCATTTTAAAATTTGATTTAATTTTTTTTTATTTTTTTGTGGTTCTGGGGACCAAATCCATGGCCTCATGCGTGCTAAGCAGGGACTCTTGACACTGAGCTACAACCCCAGCCCAAGAAAGTTAGACAAATAAGTAAAACTTACTATGGTAATACCTAGTCTTCTCTCATTTCTTGGTTACACGTTCTATATCTCTCTGTTGTCTTAACTGCTATTCTGTGCTACTGTCAAAAGTCTACAGTAATTGCTATGCAGGGTTGATTTGGTGGCTAACATTAGAACTTGTATTAGTTATTAGTGTATCTACATGATACACTATAACTGTCATGTAGATACTTTAATCTGTCCTTGGGATGCATAGACTTGAAGATGTTTTATAAAACTCTTAACCCACACAGAAAACATAAGAGAAGTAGATGCTTAATCTGAGCAGGCTTAACAAATAATGACTTCTTTAAAGAATTTTCTCTTTCTGTTCAGTAGTGTTTGTATAAGATTGGAATTGAGCTACATACTTATATTTGGTTAAAAATGATAATGAGCCAGACATGGTGACACATGCCTGTTATCCCAACATTGGGAGGCTGAAGCAAAAAGATTGTGAGTTTGAGGCCAGCCTGGGCTACATTTCAAGACCCTGTCTCAAAACACAAAACAAACAACAAAAACCAGGAGTATGGTGGATTTCAATTTTATAGTTTGGGCAGTTACCAAAGATTCTTGTTGCAGATGGCAGTGTAGGTGGTCCAGTTTGCATCATCTTCTTAGGAGAGATTCCTAAAGATTTTTAGGGTTCTGTGTTCCCAATATGTTATGAAGGTAGAATGGTTGTTAGGACTCATTCTCACAAACTCCATGTATTTTAAAAACTGATTTGAGGCTATAGAAGTCACTTTTTTTCTAAACTAAAAAGCATACTGAGTACTTGGGATACATTTAGAAACAACTTGATAGAGGTGATATACTCAGACATTGTTGCAAGAATTTATTTGGACTAGAATTGAATTCATAGAAAAATGGGTAGTATTTATGAAGAAACTATTAACAAGCCCATGGTTTATTTTCTTTCTGCTTCTCTGTTTTTCCATGCTGATGAAATTAAAAAGGTAGTAATTATTTTTAAATCTTAATGAATGGTGATACTTTATGTGCAAGAAAAGCTTGTGCTATATGTAATCAGTATACAGAAATTTATTTGAGTTATTTGCAGTTTGAACTCGGCTTCTGCACTTGCTAGGCAGGTGCTCTACTGATTGAGCCACCTCCAGCCACTTCTTTATTTTTATTAAAAAAATTTTTTTTTCTTTGTGGGGCTGAGGATAGAACCCAGGACATTGTGCATTTTAGGAAAGCACTCTGTTACTGAGCTACATCTCCAGTCCTTTTTTATTTAATTACATTTATTTATTATTAATCTGTTTTGTGGTACTAGAGGTTGAACCCAGGGCCTTGCAGTGCTAGATAAGTACTCCATCAGTGGAGTACTTGCCTCTACTTCTTTATTAATGGCCAAGTTTAGCCTCAGTTTTTCCATTGTTAGGTGTGATACTATTCTGAAATACATATTTTTAGTTTTTCATAATTTTTTCTAGATACAAAGGCATTACATGGTTTTAGAAACTATAGGAGAGCAAAAATCAAGTGATTATGTGTAAATACTTTGATCATTTGGGACCTTTTTTGTACTCATGTTCCTAACTAAAGACTGGGAGTACATTCTTGTATCTCAACTTTTTTTCAAAATAATTAAATAATTAGTATTCTCCATGTTTTAAAATATTGTTTAGGGATGTTAGAATGATAATTTAATGTTTCCTCATTTATGTATGTCATGATTTAAGAGTTCCTTTTTTATAATTTGTGTCCAGATTTTTGTTACAAATAACACTGCCATGAATGTATATATACTTTAGTCTTTATTTGCATCTTTGTTTTTTTTTTGGAAAAAAAAATCTTTAATTTTAATCATATTTACAAGGAACAATAACTGAATTTTATGTATTTTTTAAAATGTTAAGCATAGCTGTAGCTCAATCTATAAAGTTGATAAGCTCATAAGAAGATATTCTGTAAATGAAAAGTTCTAAAGATGTACACATTTGACAAGCTTTTGAGTACAATGTGATGACTATCATTTAGAGATCTAGTAGGGAACATAAAACAACTGCAAAAATTATAGAAATGCACATAAAATGTGCTAAATGTTAAGGGATGCATAAAGTAGAGTGTTACATAAAGATGGATAAGTATGACCATTTGGAAAGTAGTGGTTTATAGGCAAGTTTCTATAGGACAGAGAGAGTACATGAACTGGAAAAATACATAGTATTCTTAAAAGGAAAGAATGAAAAGTGCTTCATAGTTAAAGGAGCTCAAATGGCACTAGGCAAGTTTGAAACCTGTGAAGGGGACTAAGTAATCCAGTTAACTGAAATGTATGAGAATAGTAAGCTGAAAAGTTAGGTAAAATTTAAGTCAGATTATAGAATTAATTAAGGAATTTAAATTTTATTTGGTTGATTTCCACTAACAGTTTGTACTGGGAATTACCATGGATTTTGTAAAGGAAGGATTGGTGAGAAGTGAATTTGAAGGTAAAGAAATTAATTAGGCTGGATTATAGTCCTTTAAAACAAGAAAGGAGCAGGTAGATCAAGGAGAGATTAGGCAGGCAGAAAGAATGGACAGGTTTACTGGGTGTGGTGGTGCATGTCCATAATCCCAGTTTCTGACAGGCTGAGGCTGAAGGATCAGGATCGTGAATTCACGGTCAGCTGGGCTACATAGCAAGACTCTGTCCCTAAAAACTAAACCAAACCAAATCAAAACAGGCTTTGTTAACTAGATGGAAGTGAATTTTAACTGTAAAGGAAAGAGCCAGTTATGAATGGTCATATTGAAATCATTAATTAATAGAAATAGGGACATTCAGGAAGATAAGGAATGTTAACTGTTTTTGGAAAGAAAAGATTTTGGTGAGTAAATTTTGTTTAGAATGTGATAGCAATATTCAGAGGGTAGTAAGGAATTTAGTACTGTAAGTGGGGAGAAAATTGGGGTGAAATACATAAAATGATTTATTTCCAATTTTGCTTTATCTTCAGTTTAGAGTAGGCTAACATTCTAGCTGTAAATTTCTCCCTGGTTCCAGTCTATCAAGTAACAAATAACCCATTAGCTATTTAATTTTGTGCTTTTGAGAAACTTCAAAGTACCTGGTAATATGATGCCTTTATAAATTTAAGGTAACCTGGAAGGTTGCCTATTGTACTTCATCTGTTTTATAAAGTTAAATTTCTACAAAGCAATAAAATGAAAATGTCTTTGCCAGGTACCATCTGATAGTCTGGTCATTTGAATTTTATTAATAGTTTTATTCTTATTTAACTGACACAACCCTGTTAGTTAATCACTATGTTTTACTTCATGACTTCCTTCCAGGTCTTACTGGAAACAAATCTTTTGAAGTTACAGATACAATGTCATACATGCAAGTTGCTTTTGATTCACTAGTAGCTGAAGTAATTGTAATTATAAATTGATATGTGCTGATAGTTTAGGTAAGAGCTCCTGGGAAATGTGCCCTCTGAGGTAATGCTATTGGCTTTTATGACAGGGAAATAGAAGGAGGAAAGAAATAGAGTAAAGCTAAAAGATGCTGTAAGGAGCAGAATTTAACAGGATCTGAAAATAACGAGGAAAGTTTAGCTGCTTAGCCTATTATCAGATGTTTGTGAATTTTTTTAGGATGGCATGATTTGAGTAAAAAAGAACTCAGGAAAAAAACAACTCAGATTGCTGCTTACAATTGATTGCAAGTATTTACCAATTAGCACATACATACTTTCTGATCCAAGAATTACTGAGCTATAGATTTCATAACTAGACTGCCTAATAGTAATGAGCCTTATAGTTCTACCTTCTGAAGAGTAATTAGCTGAGAGGTTTACTGTTTAGTGTTATCTCTGCCTGAACATAGATTTACATATATACTCAGTTGGGGAGTTTGAGTAAGTTTGTAACTGGGAATAAGGAGGAAAACATTCATTTAGAAGTTGGTATGGCAGTTTACAGGGAGGAAAAAAATATAAACACGTATTATGGGAGAGAAATTTAATGAACTGTATATTCAGAAATAAAATCATAACCACCATTATTTGCCAGGCATTGTGCTAAATCCTTTTTATACATTATCCAACAGTATGTATTTGCTCAGTTCTATAGGTGAGGAAATAAGACTTCAGGAGGGTAGATAACTTGGCCAAAGTCAAAATGAACATAGTGGAAAAAAGAGCCAGTTGGGACAGTGAAAGGAATGATACCATTTATAATAGCAAGAAAGATAAAATAACTTAGGATAAATTAGTAAGAAATGTGCATGATCTATATGAAGAAGCAAAAATACTAGTGAGGTACACAAACGCTTTGAGCAAATGAAAACCACGTATGTAGATAGGGACATACAACCATGTCAATGTGTCACTTTTCTCTTAAGTTAATTTGTAAATTTAAATTGAAATTGGAGCACCCTGGCTTGTGACTCTGGGGGCTCTATTCTCCTGCTTTGCACTTAAAGAAAAAATTAAGCGATCTTAATAAAGATGCCAAATGTTTTTTGGGCGGGAAACTAAACAAAGGGATTTTCAAGTTTATATGGGGAAAAAAAAGTAGTTGGGGAAATTTACAAATTGGGCAACAGTAATATATTAAATGTGATGAGAGCATTTTAACTTAAAAACCTTAATAGCTAATCCCACAGAAATAGACATTAAACCATAAAACAATGTTAAAACCAAGACATACATATATATAATTTTAAATAATAGTGAAAAGATTTTGGCATAGACTTCAATAAATGGTCTTGGAATAAGCGGAGTGTTATTTAGAGAATAAAAATGTTGGGCTAATTCCTTACTCCATGTATATGTTTGCATAAATTCCCATTTAAATGTAAATACTAATAAAAGTACTAAGAAAAAACATGGGTTTTTAAAAAAAAAACTATTTTGGAGTTAAGAAAGCCTTTCTGACAAAAACATGACAGGCATAGAAGAAAAGGTAAACTATAAAGGTAAAAAAAGTAAAAGTAATTATGCTAGGCATAAATCACTGTAAACAAAGTTGAAAAGACAAATGGGAAGGCATTTATGACTCATTACAGAGTACTAATCTCTCTGATATAAAAGACTCCTGGAAATTGCTGAGATAAAGAGAATTCATTAGCAAAATAGCATAATATATGAAGCATATAGTTTGCAGAAAAGGAAAAACAAATAGTTCTTAAATGAATACTGCTCAAAATTTTTAGTAAACACGTATTCATGTTTGTATTAATGTAAATTGAGAAATTCCTAAGGAATAATTTTCTACCATATGTCATAATTACAAATATATATACCTTTTGTATCTCAGAAGTCTCATTTCCAGGAAATTACCTAATAACTATATTTGTATTTGTACAAAATGACATGTATTGCAACATTATGAATAATGGTAAGACATTAGAAACAGCATTAATGTCTCTTTTGGGACTGGCAAAATACGATATATCCAACCAATATAATGTAATATATGTAGTTGATGAGGGGTTCTTTATGCACCTGATACTGGAAGATCAGTAAAGAGAACAAGGTATGAAGTACTACATAGAAACTTTGTAAATCAAAAGGAAAAATAAACATTTGTGTTTGCCTGTAGGTACATTAAAAAACCCTGGAAGGGATAGCATTGGTTACTTTTGGGGCAGAGGTAGAGAGAGAAGGGTTGACAAATAGGTTGGAGTGTGTGAATGTTAGAAAGACTTCATTGCTTTTTTTTTGAACAATGTAAAATTTATCACCTCTCCAAAAAAATATTTAAAAAAATAGGTCCTGGAATTTCAGAACTTAGATACAAATCCTCCTCTTTTGCTTGTTAGGTATATTATTTTGGGTATATTGCTTATCCTCTGTATGCCTAAGTGTTCTCATCTATAAAACTAGAATAATCATGCTAATTTGTAGGATGGTTATAAGGGTTAAGTGAGATAACACATGTAGTGCTAAGGACAACCTGAGATGATGTGAGTATTCAGTAGATGTTTGCTTAAAAGGAAAACAAGCTGTTAATGTTAGAGTGGGAATTTAAATTTAGCTCTTGGGCTGGTGGAGTGGCTCAAGTGGTAGAGTGCATGTCTAGCAAGTGTGAGGCCCTGAGTTCAGACCCCAGTACTGCAAAAAATAAATAAGTAAATTTAGGTCTGCCTTATATTACTGTGGGTGTTACGCCATTTCCATATTTGCCTAATGCCTGTTAGACTGAAGTTATTTACATATTTGCCTCCAGATAGACTATCTTCGTTATAGTTGAAGTTCAACAAACGAGTGGCTTCTTACTCTGTCTTTGACATGAAAGTGCTTCCTTGATTTTAAACTTTAGAGAGCTTGTTGGAGGTCTTATTCAAAGACTACACCAAAAAGATTAAAAAAAATTTTTTTGTGATGCTTAGAGGTAATGCTAAATTGGAGCAAGACATAAAATGGACAGAATTCCTTTACCTTCAGACTTAAAAGACAAGAAAACAGAGATGCCTTTTTTCTTGTGAGAAGCATATAAATGATGGGTATTAGATTGGCCATTGCTTTAAAAAAATTATTTAATGAATAAGGTATAGCTTGTGTACTGATATTTTGAGGAACATAGATATTTGAATAAATACTATCATTCCTACTGTTAAACCTAGCCTAACGCAAAATGACTAAAATTTTAAAATAAATTCATTTGATTATGCTTCCTTTTTCTCTTTCTTTTGTGATACATGAAATTGAACCCAGAACTTCTCACTTGC